ATCTTTTCGTAATCTTATAAAATAGATATGCTGAAATGAAATAGATCTGCATTTTTTTCAATCTATCTATCCCATTTACCATCCACTACGTTTTATACTTATTATTTTCGTAATCTATAAAATACATATGCTGAAATGAAATAGATCTGCACATTTTTTTATTCACTCATCTATCTATCCATTCATTTCCCCATCACTACGTTTTATACTTATTTTCGTAATCTATAAAATAGATATGCTGAAATGAAATAGATCTGCATTTTTTATTCACTCATCTATCTATCCATTCATTTACCCATCACTACGTTTTATACTTATTTTCGTAATCTATAAAATAGATATGCTGAAATGAAAATAGATCTGCATTTTTTTTATTCACTCATCTATCTATCCATTCATTTACCCATCACTACGTTTTATACTTATTTTCGTAATCTATAAAATAGATATGCTGAAATGAAATAGATCTGCATTTTTTCAATCTATCTATCCATTCATTTACCCATCACTACGTTTTATACTTATTTTCGTAATCTATAAAATAGATATGCTGAAATGAAATAGATCTGCATTTTTTATTCACTCATCTATCTATCCATTCATTTCCCCATCACTACGTTTCTATACTTATTTTCTTTACCCCCCCCCCACGTCAAGGTCGACCTCCAAGTTATTAGGGGTAACAGGAGGAAACTTTTTTGAGGGACGAGCCGCTCACACTCCGCTGTTCCACGCAATACGCCAAGCATTAATCAGGTATTTTAATTGATCGATAATTTTATGTCTTAGTCTTTATTATTATTATTTCTATTTTACGTCTCTTTATTCCTTATTCTAATTTGTGTACATTAATGCCACGGGTGATATATAAGGAATGGTGATAGAAAGCAAGAAATAACAGTGTAATACAAGTGATGATTAATAGTTATTATTTTTTATCTGTGTCTTTATTCCTTATGTAATATTTTGTTTACACTTGATGGTGATAAATATAAGGATGGTTGATGAAAAGCAAAGCTAATACAGTAAAAGTGATGATAATAGTTATTATTTTGTTGGTCTACTTTCTAGGAGATACCTTTATCCGTGATATTCTATTTTTTTACGTGGGAAAATATGGTGAATACAATAAGAAAAACTAACACTGATGAATGCAAAATGAAAGCTCAAGAATAAACATCACACAAGTAAAGTGAATGATAGAGTATTATTATATTTGTGTTCTACTTTCTTAACATCTTTATTCCTTATTATATTTATTCTACGATGCTGATAAGAATTAAGTGAATGGTGATGAAAGAGCGCAAAAGAATAAACAGTAAAAAGGATGCATAATATTATTATTTTTTGTGTTCTACTTCTTACATCTTTTATTTCCTTATTATCACTTTATTTAGCCCCTTGGAGTAAAAAAGGTCATAAAAAATCGTTAGGTGGATAGAAGCGCAAGGACAAAAGCAAGTAAAAAGTGATCTGATAATAGTTATCCTATTGTCTACATTTCTTCACGTTTTTTATTCCCTTGATTATATTTTTTTACTGCTATGGTCGTATAAGAAACACACAGATGGTGGAAAAAAAATATAGATAAAAAAAAAAAAACAAAAAACAAATGAAAAAAAAAAAAAAAACAAACGTAATAATTAAAAAAGATATAGATAAAGAATATAAAAGAATTAAAATGTAATATTAATAAGAACTACATTAATAAACAATTACCAATAATAATTAACCTAATAATAATAAAATAATATTAATTTATATACATATATAATGGTATGAAAATAAAAATAAATGAGAAAATGATAAAAGAAATAGAAGCAAAAGAGAGATAAAAAAAAAAATAAAAACAAAGTAAAAAAGTGAAATGAAAATAGTATAATATTTTAATGTATATCTACAATTCTTTACATCTTTAAATCTCTTATCATATTTTTTACTGATGTGATAATAAGGATGTGAGTGAAACAAAAAAGATAAAAAGAACATGAAAAAGAAAAAGTGATGATAAATAGTTAATTATATATAAGAGAAAATAATACTTTACTTACCATCTTTTATCCTTATTATATCTGTACTGATGTGATAATAAGTGCGATGGTCGAGTAAAAGAATGAAAAAAAGAGTCAAATGGTGATAGATAGCAAGTTAATAATCAGTATAAAATGAATGCTATAAATAGTTATGATGTTTTTGTTCTACTTTCTCTACATCTGTGTGATTCTCTTATTCTTATTCTTTATTAACTGATTGCGCTGATTAATAGATATATGTGTGGGTAATAACGATGGTATTGGGAAGAAAGAGCAAGTCGGAAAAAATAAAAACAGTAAAAAAAAGTTGATGTAATAGTTATTGATTTTTGTGTCTACTTTGGAAATACAATCTTTTATTCCTTTATTTCTTTCTTTTACGTTGATGGTGATAATTAGGATGGTTGATAAAAGCAAGAGGATAACAGTAAAATGATGATAAAGTAGTTATATTTTTTGTGTCTACT